GCAGTACATCCAGGCCGAACCCCCCACCAACAAGTCGCTGTCGAGCCTGGTGGTGCAGCTGCTGCAGTTCCAGGAGGAGGTTTTCGGCAAGCACGTCAGCAACGCGCCCCTCACCAAGCTGCCGGTGAGCCCCCGCCGCGGCGGGCAGCGGGCAGCCGGTGGCGGCACCGGGGACGGGGACGCGGTGGGCCGGGGGCTGCGCCCCGGTGGGGGATGAGGCCCAGTGACACCCGGGGACCTGGGGACAAGGCCACGAGCAGGGACAGAGCCCCAAAGACGGGGGGGACGGCAGCCTCGTGATCCAGGGACAAGGCTCCAGAGACCCGGAGGCAGCGCCCCGAAGAGCTGGGGACAAGGCTGAGCAGGGACAGTGCCCCAAAGACCCAGGGAAAAGGCCCCAAAGACCTGGGGACAAGGCCCTGAGCGAGGACAGCACCCCTGTGACCCGGGGACAGCACCCCTGTGACCCGGGGACAGAGCCCCAGTGAGCTGGGGACGAGGCCCTGGTGACCCAGGGACAAAGCCCTGAGAAGGGACGGCACCCCAAAGACCCGGGGACAACACCTGAATGAGCCGAGGACAAGGCCCCAAAGACCTGGGGACAAGGCTGAGCAGGGACAGTGCCCCAGTGAACCGGGGACAAGGCCCTGAGCAGGGACAGCACCCCAAAGACCTGGGGACAAGGCCCCAGTGACCCAGGGACAGCGCCCAACCACGGACAGCACCCGGTGACCCGGGACAGTGCCCCAGTGCGGGACAGCGCCCTGATCAGGGACAGTGCCCCAGTGTCCTGGGGACAGTGGCCGGTGACACTTGGGCACTGTCCTGCTGGGAACTGCCCCCAAGCAGGGTCTGTGCCCCAACGACCAGGGGACAGTGTCCCACCAGGGACAGCACCCCAACACTGGGACAGGGCCCTGACCACGAACAGCACCCCAAGGACCTGGGATGACACCTTATGGACCTGGGGACTGCACCCTGGGGACCCCAGGACAGCACCCCGGGGACTTGGGAACAGCGTCCCGACACAGGGACAGGTCCCCCAACTGGGGTCAGTGACCCAACACCGCAGGGACTGCATCCCAGCCCAGGGACAGAGCCCAACAAGGGGATGGCACCCCAACGTGGGGATGGCACCC